TCCCAGCACTTGTGAGGCAGAGGCAGGTGGATCTCTGTGAGTTCGAGACCAGCCTGGTCTCCAGAGTGAGCGCCAGGATAGGCTCCAAAGCTACACAGAGAAACCCTGTATCAAAAAAAACAACAAAAAAAAGTAAGAAAAGAACACATGTTACTGGGAAGGAAATCTGTGCCAGGAATACCATACAAACTAATACACATACTCACTCAAACACACACATACACACACATGCATATATACATACACACACACACACACACACACACACACACAAAAACACACAGGGCCTCACATACATACACACATTCACATAATAATAAAAGAAAAACACCTTTAAAATAGTAAAACAGTAAGGCCAGTGTTCAGCTACTGAATGAAAGTAGACATACAGTAGCATATGAGAGTTTCTGGTTTATCCAAATCTCTGTTGATAAGAAAAGGGCGGTGAGAAATTTACTCTAAACTTGTTGAACCCAGGAGGCTGTGGAGGGTAGGAATCGGGGGAGGAATTTAATAAAAACACATTATATGCTTATATGACATTTTCCAACAATAAATAGAAAACATGTTCTAATGAAAATCACTGTACTTTCATGACATATTTAACAGGTTGGTGAGTGCTTATTCATAACGACCTGGTTTTGTTTGTTTGTAGGTGATTCACGTACCAACAGGTCTTAAATATGATCAAATCACTTTTGGAAATATTTTCAGAATGAAAATACAACTCTCCCTAAGGGATAAGGGAAAGACAAACCAGAATGATCCACTGAGTGGGGATGACATGGGGAAGAGTTTGGATAAGGAGGCTTCCTGCCACGTCTTCCTCTATAATGAGGATTGACTACAGGAAAGAAAAGTGTTTTGGCAAGTAGCTCTTGAAGAAGCTCACCAAGAGCCTCCTGTCTTCTAACAGACTCCTTTCCTTTACTATCATAGTGCCCCTGCCCCCCCCCCCCGAGGTATCAGGGTGGTACACTCTGATATCTCAGCTACATCCTGGTTTCTCTGGAAGCCCACCCCTCAACCCTGTGACCAGTGCCCAGAGAGGTCATAGTGTCCCTCCCCTCCCCCCCGAAGTATCAGGGTGGTACACTCTGATATCTCAGGTACATCCTGGTTTCTCTGGAACCCTACCCCTCAACCCTGTGCCCAGTGCCCAGAGAGGTCATAGTGGCCTTCCCCTCCCCCCCCGAAGTATCAGGGTGGTACACTCTGATATCTCAGGTACATCCTGGTTTCTCTGGAAGCCCACCCCTCAACCCTGTGCCCAGTGCCCAGTGCCCAGAGAGGTCAGAGGTGGTGCTTTGTGATGCCAGAAACAATCATAATGGCTGGCGAGGCTGTGAGGACCAATCAGGGTTGAAGGGTGTGGCCCTGCATTGTTTGGGGGCCTTGATCAGTTGGCTGTTAGAGAGCTGTGGGTTCAGACCTCAGGTAGGCTCCCTTATGGAGGTTAGGGAGGAGGCAGTGGAGCCCAGCACAGATTCAGCTCCCTCAACCTCACAAAACCAGCAAATGACTGCCGTGACACCCTCTCAAGCCTGCCCCTGCGCACCTGGCACAGCTGTAGGTCAGCCAGTTTCGGAAAGCTGTGAAAAGGTGAGCCGACTAGAGCAAAGTACTCTTTCTCCTTGGTTGATCAGTTTCCCTTCCCTGGGAATCTTGTCTTTCCCTGGCCTGGCATGGATTTCCTCCTCAACCCACACCTTTTCCTCACAATGTCCCCTTCACATGCTTACCACCACTGTGCTGTCCTTACAGGTTCAAAAGATTTTCATGAGGCGAAGAAGATCCCGGCGACGTAGGAGGCTGAGGAAAAGACTCGCTGACAGAACTTTGAGAACTCTTGCGAGAGATGGGGCAATGTCCTCTCCTGAGCGCCACTGTCGGCTCAACGTGGAGCCGCGCAAGAATGATCCTGGTCAAGAAGGGGTCTCAGTGAGCACCAGAGTCTCTACTGAGGACCTGGCCAAGTCAGGGACTCAGCATGCTCAAGACCTCTCAACTCCTCAGAAGTCTGGATGCTGAGTCAGATCAAGTCATGGACATCGACAGCTCCGTTGACAGTTACCACAGAGTCCTCTTGTGGTACTGCAAATAAAAGCAAGCAAATGTGAGCGGATGAGTTTCCTGTGGTCTGTTTTGGGCTCTTGTGAGAAAGGGTGGGTAGATGGCTTGGTAAGAGAGGGTCATTGGATTGTACAGGTCTGGGAGCCTGACAACTGGTCTACCTATAGACTGATGATGAAGGATCTGCACTGTTGCCACCCGTGCAGAAGATCAACTTGCTCCTGTTGCTTTATTTCTTGGGACAGGATGTGGGGTGGAAAGGGCTGGTGTGTCCTTGTGTATTTGGAAGGGGCACAGGTTGGGGGAATGGTTTATAGGATGCAGGTATGAGATGCTACATGGTGAGAGGTATAGGGACAGCAGTACCAGCCTCCGCTGAACACCCTGGATGCCAACCTCCTCCCAGTGTTTGTTGCATCCCACTTTGTGACATAATCCACTTACAGGCTTCAGTAGAGCCCAAGATACCACCTTACTGAAAGAAACCATAACACCCTGGGAAATGGGTGATTTCAAGCCATAATAAATACAGCATTGATTGGCCTAATCCTTCTCAGATTTGGTGTTTGGAAGGGCAGTGCATGTTGTCTGCTTGTAGTGCAGGTCATAAAGCTGGGGGCATTGTCTACAGGGAGATTTAAATGTACACACCTGCCCTATAAAATATCCTTACTTTGAGTAAGTTTTTCCCAGTTTCTTACCTCTAAAAGCAATGAAAAATCTTCTGATAAAGGCCTCTTCGATGATTTATTACATTACTGGTTTATCAAATACAAACATAAGAAAAGGGATGGACATGAAACTCATATAGTTGCCACTGGAAGACTAACCTGGCGTGTTTCTGTTTCAATTGCTGGGACAAACTACCATGATTACGAACAATGTGGAGGGAAGAGTTCATTTTACATTACAGTTCCACTGCATAGTACATTGCTCGGGAAATTCAGGGCAGGAATTCAAACATCATAGGAACCTGGAACCAAGAGCTGATGCAGTGCCCATAGAGGTGTGCTGCATGCTGGCTTGCTCCTTCTGTCTTCTCAGCCTGCTTTCTTGTAGTATCCTGTGCCACCAGCCCAGAGGCTGTAGGTTTAGCAACACCTACAATGACTGGGGGCCCCACACACAAAACTAAGAAAATATTCTACAGTCTTGCCTACAGACCAATCAATCATACATAGGAATTTTCTCTTTTTTATTTTTTTTTTAATTTTATTTATTTATTATGTATACAACATTCTGCTCCCATGTATATCTGCACACCAGCAGAGTGCACCAGATCTCATAACAGATGGTTGTGAGCCACCATGTGGTTGCTGGGAATCGAACTCAGGACCTCTGAAGAGCAGTCTTAACCTCTGAGCCATCTCTCCAGCCCCATGGAATTTTCTCAATCTACACTCCCTCTTCCCTTGGACTCTTTTCCTCTTGTTGGTTTGTCTTGTTCATAGATTTTGTTTTATATATTATTTTGTTAACTTTTTTTAAAAAATGCATGAACTGATGAATGAATGAATCAATGAATGGAAACCTAGCCGCCAGGATAAAATTTAGCACTTATACCTGCTTCGAAAGGCAAAAATCAGTTTTCTCCGTACACTGGATATACCAACCACTCCAGGACAAGCCTCATGTTCAGGAGTAGTTGCCCAGCATATAATTGAACTGCACAGTTGTGTGTGTGTGTGTGTGTGTGTGTGTGTGTGTGTGTGTGTGTGTGTGTGTGTGTGTGTTGTGTGTGCTTTTATTTGGTTACATTTTAATAATTATGGGGGTGGGGGGTATTTGTTGTCTTATTTTCGATGATTTTTATTTGAATTAGAAACAAGATTGTTTTACATGTCAATCCCAGAGAGGTGGACATTAAACTCATAAAGATAGGGGTGCTGCTGGAAGACTAAACTGGTGTGTTTCCGTTTCAATTGCTGGGACAAACTACCATGATTACGAACAATGTGGAGGGAAGAGTTCATTTTACATTACAGTTCCACTGCATAGTACATTGCTCAGGAATTCAAGGCAGGAATTCAAACATCATAGGAACCTGGACCAAGAGCTGATGCAGTGCCCATAGAGGTGTGCTGCATGCTGGCTTGCTCCTTCTGCCTTCTCAGCCTGCTTTCTTGTAGTATCCTGTGCCACCAGCCCAGAGAATAGCAACACCTACAATGGCTGGGGGCCTCCCACACACAAATCACTAAGAAAATATTCTACAGTCTTGCCTACAGACCAATAAATGATACCTAGAAATTTTCTCAATCTACACTCCCTCTTCCCTTGGACTCTTTTCCTCTTGTTGGTTTGTCTTCCTCATAGTTTTTGTTTTATATTATTTTGTTAATTTAAAAAAAACGAATGAATGAGTGACTTAATGAGTGAATGAAAGAAAACCTAGCCACCAGGACAAAATTTAGCAACAGAACTGTCCCTTACACTTATACCTGCTACGAAAGGCAAAAATCAGTTTTCTCCATACACTGGATATACCAACCACTCCAGAGCAGACCTCATGTTCAGAAGTAGTTGCTCAGCATATAATTTAACTGCACAGGGTTTTTTTGTGTGTCTGTATGTGTGTGTGCTTTTATTTGGTTACATTTCATTGGGGTTTTTTGGAGGGGGGTATTTGTTTTCTTATTTTGGAACGATTTTCTTGTCATGTTTTCTTTCTGTTTTTTACGAGAAACAACCTAAATTTGGATGGGGAAGGAGGGGGAGGAATATGGGAGGACTTGGTGGAAGGGAATAATATGTTCAAAATATACTTAGATTTTAAAATTGTTTTAAATATTATAAAATAGTAAATAGGAATATAAATTGTGAAACCCTAAAAAAAGAGAGAGAATCCATCTTCCTAAATGACTCTAGCATGGATCAACTTGACTGAAAACTGACTCTGGTCAACTCAATGCATGATCCCAACACAATCCAAATACAACCCTTCCTGTACCATTTCCCCTAGATGGTATGCTAATATTAATATTACAACATGAAATATAGTACAGCATTATAAATTCCGCAGTGTTCAAAATTTCAACACATTAAACTTTAGTCTCTTTAAACATCCAAACTCTTATTCCGACTTTAAAGTGTCTCTAATAGATTTCCAGTCCTGCAACTTTGGGCTCCTATAAAACAACAATAACAACAACTTTCTTGAAGCACATTAATACAACAAGAACATCTGTTCAACGATGTTCATAGCAGCACTATCTGTAATAGCAAGAAACTTTAAGCAGCCTAGATACCCCTCGACTGAAGAATGGATAGAGAGAATTTGGTACATTTACACAATGGAGTACTACTCAGCGGGAAAAAAAACAATGGAATCTTGAAATTTGCAAGAAAGTGGATGGAACTAGAAGAAACCATTCTGAGCAAGGTAACCCAATCACAAAAAGACAAACATGATATGTACTCACTCGTATGTGGATTTTAGACATAGGGTAAAGGATTACCATCCTACAATCCACACTGCTAGAGAAGCTAGTAAACAAGGAGGACCCTAAGAGAGACAAACATTGTCCCCTGGAGAAGGGGAAAGGGTCAAGTTCCCTGAGCAAACTGAGAACATGGGAAGAGGGGGGGGATGGAGCTGTGAGAATGAGAAGGGAAGAAGAGGAAGGATGCAGAGGTCATGAGGGAGCAGAAAGGTTGAGTCAGGGGAAGAATAGAAGAAAGGGTATGTGATAGGTAGGGTTTTAGTTGGGGGTTGGCAGGGGAGGACCGGAGGGAAAAGGGAACTGCAATTGTCATGTAAAACAATCTTGTTTCTAATTCAAATAAAAAATCTGAAAAAAACCAACAACTTTCTTATTCTGTGGGTGAATAACTGGGGCTAGCCATCAAATTGACTAGCCATCGAATACACTTCACCATTTAAAGTATTTACTTAAGGATCTGCCATTGTTTGGGCTTTGCTTCTGGCTAGGCTGTCTTCCTGAATCCTTTCTCACACAAACCCCAGCATCCCAAGAGCAGGTTTCGGACACACAATGAGAACAATAAGGGTCAATAGGATAATTAAGAGTTTTGCATTCTCAAGTGCTGATCTTTTTTCACTTCACAGGACAACCACTTTGTAATTATTCCTACATCAGTAGCCATACTCCTAAAGAAAGGTGACTTTCCCTCTTACAGTAGCCATCAACAGCCAATAGGTCCGCAGATGGGGGTGGGGCCCTGTGAGCACCCTCCCTTCTGGAAGTTTCAACCAGCTTGATCGTGTGCAGGTCTTTCTTGGGTGCCTTGAGTTCTTGTGTGCAACCATCATGTCACACCCAGAGTACTGTCTTTCACATCACTCTTCTGTAACTTCTGGCTCTCAGATTCTTTCTGTCCTCTCTTCTACCATGTTCCCTGTACCTTGAGGAGGGGATGCTATACAGGTCCTGTCTGTGGCTGGGGATTCACAGTTATTTATTCTCAGATTTTGATCAGTAACTATATTAACTGAGTCACAGTGCAATAAGAAGATTCTCTGTTACTAGAATTCAAACCACACATAAAACCTCACACACTTATAGTCGAGATTTCAAACCCCACTATCACCACTAAACAGGAACACCAGACATAAACTTAACAAAGAAAAAAAGGAACTAATAGAAGTTATGACCCAATTGGGTTTAACAGACATCTATAGAAAATTCCATACAAACACAAAAGAATGTCCCTTCTCAGCGCCACATGGAACCTTCTCTTTATCGCCCACATAGTGGACAACATAGCAAACCTCAACAGGTACAAAATTTTAAAATAATCCCCTGTATCTTATCAGCCCACCATGCTTTAAAGTTAGAATTCAACAACAACACAAATTGCAGAAAACCTACAAACCCATGGAAACTGATAACGCACAATTGCACCATCCCTGGGTCAAAGAAGAAATAGAAAAAGAAAAGTTCTCCTAGAATTCAATGAGAATGTGGACACAACATACCCAAACTTATGGGACACTTTGAAAGCAGTACTAAGAGGAAAGTTCATAGCACTATAAGTCCCCACATGAAGAAACTGAAAGCTCTAGAACACAAAGAAGCCAATGCACCCCAGAGGAGTAGATGCCAGGAAATAATCAAATTAAGGGCTGAAATCAATAAAGTGGAAACTAGGAAAATAATACAAAGAATCAGTATAACGAAGAGGTGGTTCTTCGAGAAAATCAACAAGATAGACAAACCTTTATCCGAACTTACCAAACAGCAGAGAGTGAAGATGCAAATTAATAAAATCAGAAATGAAAATGGGGACATAACAAGAGACACTGAGGAAATCCAGAGAATCATCAGGTCATACTTTGAAAATCTGTATTTCTCAAAATTCGAAAATCTAAAGGAAATGGACAATTTTCTGGATAGATTTCACTTACCAAAACTGAATCAAGAAGAGATAAGCAATTTAAATAGACCTATAACCCCTAAAGAAATAGAAACAGTCATCAAAAGT